AAAAAAAAAAAAAAAAACTATTTTTAATTATTCACGGCTATCTAAGTAGTATTTTGCTGACCATTGACTCTGTTTTTGGTGCTAAAATTCCCTTATTTCTGTAATAAGACAATTACCTAATACAATTTCAAAGATGAGGATTATCAACGCGCTGTTATGACCCCAACTATACAAGCATTTTTTTTTTCAATAAGCAATCTATAAGGTCGAGCAGAATTAATTAAATTCTAAACAAACTTATGTTAATTGCAATAAATATGATATTTTTTTTAATACAAATCATCTTTTATTATATTGTAACTTTATCATTTTTTTTTTTGGTAGTATTTTATGTAATTTATATTGCTGCTATGTCCCTATTTATTTGAGACTAAAAAATTCGGCCAGCATATATACCAAATATTTCCCAAATGTGTTATACAAAAGTTTGTTAGTTTATTAATTTTCTGTAGTTAGTGGTGTTCCAATATTCACCATAAATTTATGCTAATATCATGAAAAAAAATACTATCAATATAATTATCTATTACGAGAAATTTTAATTTATAAATACATCGCACGAGATTTGTACTAATATTCCTGCTATCATTTTTTGTACTAATGTCATGCAAACCAAACACTATTTTTTTTTTTTTTGGTACATAGACCTTCTGGTTTTCGAATCCACAGGGGAACCGACTAATCTGGAATCGAGTCGGGTAGGACCATAAGAGCGATAAAGCTCTCCCTCAAGAGTTTTAACATTGCTGCATTCCCAGAGCTCGAATACGAAACTATTAATTAAGCTGGAAGAGACCTAAGTCATCTCATCCAAACGCTAAACCAAACACTATTTACGCGGACAAATATCTCACGACATATCCTGTCACGCAATACTCTAACGAATTAATTTTAAAAACAATCACATGCAAGTCAAGTCTCATAACCTCGGACTTTGAATGCCAAAATCTATGAGCCTCCAATTGAATCTAATATCATATATTATAGTATTATAAATACCCCATAAAAGGACTATTTTGTAATCTTAAAAACCTCGAAAAAAAAAAAAGAAAAATGAATAGCACTAAATTTTGTGTCATATTTTTTACGCTTAGCATGGCTTTTTTAGCATCAAACTCGCGTATTCTTGAAGCTCCGAAAGACTGTGATGGACCAAAAATAGATGGTAACAACAAGTCTGAAGAGATTAATGGATACGAAAATGTTAATAATGCACACGAGGTTTTAGCAGGAACAAATTCTAACGTCTTCGCAGAGAGTAAGGTGTCGGGGAGCGGAAATGTATACGAAAATGCTTATGCGCACGAGGTTCCAGGTAGCAATGCTAACGTGTTCGCAGAGATTAAGGACTCGGGGCCCAGCCCGCATGGCCCCGGTCATTGATCAATTTGAGAGAGAGAGAGAAAAAAAAAAAAAGAGTGTTCTTAATTACCTTTACGTGTAAAGAATATTAGGGAAATGTCGGACTTAGTATCTTCGGTTGTCGCTTTTGTTGAGGTTAGGATTTTGTGATAGGTAGTGAGGAGGGCTTTACGTGGAACGAATGTTTGTGTGTGTGTGTGTGTTTTTTTATAGTTTTTCTCTTTTATTGTTGTATTTGTCTTAGTCCATTTGCGTCTAGCTTTAGTCTCCATTATGGAGTTGTGTGTTTATTTTGAAGATTTTGTGTTTTGCATGTGATTGTAACCCCTTGGTTGATTGTGTAATTTCAATTATTAATATATCCATCGTTTCAGGAAAAAAAATAGCAATTATCTTTTACAAAATTCCAACATAGTATCACATTCATATTCAGTTAAAGTATTCGTTAAAGTATTAGGTGTGGTTTATTCTGTTGAATATGTGTGTACATAGTTGTCTTTCGGAGAATGATGACGAATTTATCAAACAAACAACAAACACGAACCAACATCACGAACTTCAAACAAATTCGAATAAAAAATTCAAATAATAAACAAAGTCGAGTAACGTGAAAAAAGCTCTCTATAAGTCAAAATTTTCAACGATTAATGCTACTGTATTTGATAAACGTCTTCAGGATATCACGACTTTATCTTGTGTATATGACACTTCAAATACACAAGAACTCGGCCGAAAACTTACTTGTGTTTAACTAATCAATATGCGTCAACATAACTTCTAAACTGCCCTCATACACCATGTACAAACTAAATAGGGTGCAAACTCAATGTCGTCTCCTAACATACAAAACTTGGGGTGCTCTGATACCATGATAAATGGACCTGGTTAGAACTCAAATCCCCAAAAGCTAGCTTATATAAAGGGAGAAAGGGTACTCAAGTAACGCAACCTACACTTATACACAATAACAACTCTATAACTGATCAATGTTTGACAAACGTCATAACTCTTAACAAGAAGAATCAAGTGAAGTGTTGATATTATGAGCTATGCATATACCTCTCTCAACCCCACCAACCAACGTCCCATCCACACGGGCTGCCACCTTCTTTCGATGGCACTTGGCACGCCCCAATTGGCCACCGCCCCCTGTATGTTGGTAATTAGATTCAATATGAAATTGTTTTGAAATTTACGAGTGTCCGATATCGTATTTGGTTAAAATTTGAATCTGAATCAAGTAAGAATTATGTTTGATAACATAAAAGGATATATTAGATTGTTCACATTTGGAGTTCAGCTTCAAATATTCTTTAACTTTAAAGAAACTACCATGATACTGAGCCTAGAATAATGCACATCTATATCCAAGATCATATATATGAGTTATAAGTTTATGCATGTACCTGCAAATGTACAAATAAACAAATATGAATTTAAGCTATAACAGAGTAATTTATCTTACTCTTGTGCAATCTATTTCATTTATAGCTTATAATTTTGTAAAGTAAAAGAGCTACTACAGATAGTGTAGAGTCTGTAGACGATTATTTATTCTGCCTGTATAACATAGGAATGACATAAAACGGCTCTGGACTGTCCCATTTAACTTTTTTTTTTCATTTGCTTCATGCTCTTCGTCAAATACTGATGTGCTTTTGAAGTCCCTTCGAATAACTTTCCAGTGAATGTCTTGACCTGAAACTCGTGTTTTATATTTCGACAAACTATCGTTACATAGTCTCATTTGTATCCCAAAATGTAACAGTTTTCGTGCGCGAACTTTTGTGTTATCCAAATTAATCTATCGCCTTGAAAAGGAAAAAATGAAAAAGAAGAAATATAAATAACAGACGAACCCGTACGTATAAAATTTGGTCTTTTAGTCGTCTCTTTATGAGCAGCCAAAATTGCATTCTTGAACGACCTCATATTGCTATGGATAGCATCCACCACGATCGTGTTTCATCCCAATGGCTTACTTGGTGGCAAATTGGTTGATTTTCCTATGGAGCAGGTCACCAACTTCAATTGGCCGAAAGTCCCTTATGATGATGAGAAGTATCAGCGTTTAGTAGAAACGTTTGATCTTTTTGCACATGCTCTCAAATACACGGTGAAGTTGTATAACCTTGTATGAGAACAACTTGTATATCACTGGATAAAGACTGAATGCACAGAGACAGTTCAAACAATTGCGGAAGCAGAATAACTTAAAACTGAACCTTCAGGAGAGCGTCCTACTCTCCATTCGGATCTCTTTCATTAATGCAAACGACACAAACATTATTCAAAGGTTTACAATATAGACTCCCTCTACTCTCTACTTGAACAATGATCTGCACAACTATTTATTGGACCACAAATACCTTGTGGTTTTCACGTTTGACTCCCTTAAACATCACAGAATGAACCTCTGATCACTCTGGATTTTTCACTCAATCTAATAAAAAAAATTGAAATGGCGCTCAAGAAAACAATATTAATTGGTTACAACGTATGCGCACACACAAATTCTGATATAAAAGTCCTCTCCAAGCGTCTCGTCATCATTTTATCTTCAATCACATATGGTAGTCTCGCACCAAACTTTGCCTCCAAGTCACGCTCAGTTATGTAAGTCTTCTTTTGGAAGGTCCAAGTCCCGCAATCAGTATCTTGTGCATATGGAAGGTGAATCCCAATTGCCTTCCATTGACATGTCATAATAAAACACATATTATTATTAATCAATAAACTGAAGCAATTAAAAAATTAGTCCAAGTAATAAAAACAACTACCCTTAAACATTCTTGAGTCGTCTGAACCTGGGAACTGATGAAGGTTCGTTGATTTACTGTCAATCTTCAAAACTTACACACGGGGACGCTACTCTTCGGGTGATTCACTATTTGAAAGGTACTATGGGCTACGATATTCTTCTTCGGTCTGGTTGGGACTTGCAAGTTTATGGTTGGTGTAACTCTATTAATTGGGCAACATGCCGCACTATACTACCTGCAGGTCTTTCACTAGTTTGTCCGTACAACTTGGCCATTCTCCGATATCATGGTGTACTAAGAAGCAACACATGGTTGTTCATTCTTCAGTCGAGGTTGAGTACTGTGCTATGACGACGTTTACTTGTGTTTGGAAGTGATTACGGGGTTCGGTACGCATTCTTGGTGTGGCGAATCATCAGTCGATGTGGATTCGCGACAGTCAAAAGGCCCAATACATTGCCAATAATCGTGTCTTTCATGAGCGTACCAAGCACATTGAGAGGTTGATTGTCACTTTTTTCGCGACGCTCTTGTTCAAGTCATCTTTTATGCTACTCATGTTTCTACTCATTCCCAGCTCGCACGCAGACGTTAGTCAATTATCATATTTTGTAATTAGTTAATCTCAATACTTATATATTTTGTAACCTAATTTAGTGGTTTATATATTTGATTTTTCACCCATCACTTTTGATGGCCTCATATTTCATGGACATATATCATGTCACTTGCTGTTAAAAAAAAAAAAAGTACTTTTTTTCTTGGGTACATGTATTTTTGAGTTTCCGGCTCCACAGGGGAATCGACTAATTCGGAATCGAGCCGGGTAGGACCACAAGGGCGGCAAAATTCTCCCTCAAGAGTTCTACTGTCCTTTACTCCGTCGGGGTTTATAGCCATTAAATCATCTATCCACGACTTTTAAATAATAATCTAACTATTACAAATTCTGA